GGGGAAGAAAGAAACAGGGAGGGAGGGAGGGGAAAGAAACAGGGAGGGAGGGGGAAGAAAGAGGGAGTGAGGGGGAGAAGGAAACAGGGAGGGAGGGGGAGAAGGAAACAGGGAAGGAGGGAGGGGGGAGAAGGAAACGGAGGGAGGGGGAAGAAAGAAACGGAGGGAGGGGGAAAAAGAGGGAGGGAGGGGGGAGAAGGAAACAGGGAGGGAGGGGGAGAAGGAAACAGGGAAGGAGGGGGAAGAAAGAAACAGGGAGGGGGAAGAAAGAAACAGGGAGGGGAGGGGAGGGGGGAAGAAAGAAACTGACAGGGGAGGGGGGAGAAAGAAACTAACAGGGAGGTGGGGGGGGAAAGAAACTAACGGGGGGGAGACATTGACAGGGAGGGGAATTGACGGGGAGAGAGAAATTGACAGGGAGGGGGGAGTGACAGGGGAGGGAGGGGGAATGAGAGTAACAAGGGAGGAGGGGAGAAGAGAGTGACAAGGGAGGGGGGGGAGATTGACATCCATCACACACACACACACAATCACACACAATGCACCCCTTACACACAAAGACAATGAACCCCTTGCACACAGAAAAACACACAATGCATTACACACACACACGCAATGCAACCCTTACACACAATGCATCCCTTGCACACACAGAAACACACAATGCATTCCTTACACACACTCAATGCACCCCTTACAGACTCACACACTTCATTCCTTACATACACAGAAACACACCTTGCAGCCCTTACACATACAAACACAGATTCACAAAATGCATTCCTTACACACAAATCAGGACATTCCCTACACACTCCATCCCCTGTGAACAAACTCATTGGTGGAAAATGAAGGTGGACCCTGGGACCCAGACCTTGAGCTGTGTAAAGGGCCCCAAAAAATGGAGCTGCTTCTCGTTCTCCCAGAACATTGATTTGTGTGACCACAGTTACAAACAGCCTCCAGAGATCCTGTTATACACCAGACCAGTGGAGCCAGACCGCAGCTAGAGCCCATCATCATCCTCATCTGCTTGTAAGTAGGTAATCTAGTATATTATTCGTGGCACTAATCTCTAATTTACCTCACATTAAAGAAACACTATAGTCCCCAGAACCACTGCACCTTAATGTAGTGGTCCTGGTGTCTATAGCCTGTCCCTGCAGGCCTTTTAATGTAAACACAGTGGCACTGCAGCACTAGCGTTAGTTAACATGGCAGGTCATATGGGTGGGGCATTGCGATGTCACGGGGGGGAGGAGGGGGGCGTCAAACTTTACTTTTGCCTAGGGCGGCAAAAATCCTTGCACCGGCCCTGCATACACACACAGACTGCTGAGTCCATACACACACACACAGACTGCTGAGCAGTGGCGGATCCAGAGCCTGATCTTGGGAGGGGCACTTGTAGATTATTTAAAGAAATAATCCAGACACAATAACCACTACAGCTCAGTGTAGTGGTTATGGTGTCAATAGTGCCAGGACCCCCTCCCAGAGTAAGTAGTCAAACCGCTTAAGAACAGTTTGACAACTTACCTGAGGTCTGCTGGGAAATGGGGCAGTAGTAGGGCATAGGAGCAGTGGTGTGTGTGAGTGGTGCAATGTGTAAGGGGTGCAGTGTGTGTGTGTGTGTGTGTGTGTGTGAGAGGGGGACAGTGTGTGAGCAGTGTGTGTGTTTGAAGGTTGTAGTGTGTGAGTGAGGGCGGCAGTGTATGTCAGGGATGCAGTGTATGTGAGGGACAGTATGTGTGTGTAACAGTTGCAGTGTGTGTGTGAGTGTGGGCAATGTGTGTGTATGGGGCGGCAGTGTATGGGGAGCAGTGTGTGTGTATGGGGATAGTGTATGTGTGTAGAGTGTGTGTGTATGGGGGAGCAGTGTGTGTGTAGCTGTCCCTGAGGGGTACATACAGGGAGTGCAGAATTATTAGGCAAGTTGTATTTTGAGTTAATTTTGTGTGTGAGCGACAACCCTTGTTCTCAATGAACCCAAAACTCATTAATATCAAGCTGAATATTTTTGTAAGTAGTTTTTAGTTATATAGCTATGTTAGGGGGATATCTGTGTGTGCAGGTGACTATTACTGTGCATAATTATTAGGCAACTTAACAAAAAACAAATATATACCATTTCAATTATTTATTATTACAATGAAACCAATATAACATCTCAACATTCACAAATATACATTTCTGACATTTCAAAAACAGGAAACAAAACAAATCAGTGACCAATATAGCCACCTTTCTTTGCAAGGACACTCAAAAAGCCACCTGCATCCATGGATTCTGTCAGTGTTTTGATCACCAATTTCACCATCAATATTGCGTGCAGCAGCAACCATTTCCCAGACACTGTTCAGAGGGTGTACTGTTTTCCCTCCTTGTAAATCTCACATTTCATGATGGACCACAGGTTCTCAATGGGGTTCAGATCAGGTGAACAAGGAGGCCATGTCATTAGATTTTCTTCTTTTATACCCTTTCTTGCCAGCCACGCTGTGGAGTACTTGGAAGCGTGTGATGGAGCATTGTCCTGCATGAAAATCATATTTTTCTTGAAGGATGCAGACTTCTTCCTGTACCACTGCTTGAAGAAGGTGTCTTCCAGGAACTGGCAGTAGGACTGGGGGTTGAGCTTGACTCCATCCTCAACCCGAAAAGGCCCCACAAGCTCATCTTTGATGATACCAGCCCAAACCAGTACTCCACCTCCACCTTGCTGGCGTCTGAGTCGGACTGGAGCTCTCTGCCTTTTACCAATCCAGCCACGGGCCCATCCATCTGGCCCATCAAGACTCACTCATTTCATCAGTCCATAAAACCTTAGAAAAATCAGTCTTGAGATATTTCTTGGCCCAGTCTTGACGTTTCAGCTTGTGTCTTGTTCAGTGGTGGTCGTCTTTCAGCCTTTCTTACCTTGGCCATGTCTCTGAGTATTGCACACCTTGTGCTTTTGGGCACTCCAGTGATGTTGCAGCTCTGAAATATGGCCAAACTGGTGGCAAGTGGCATCGTAGCAGCTGCACGCTTGACTTTTCTCAGTTCATGGGCAGTTATTTTGCACCTTGGTTTTTCCACACGCTTCTTGCGACCCTGTTGACTATTTTGAATGAAACGCTTGATTGTTCGATGATCATGCTTCAGAAGCTTTGCAATTTTAAGAGTGCTGCATCCCTCTGCAAGATATCTCACTATTTTGACTTTTCTGAGCCTGTCAAGTCCTTCTTTTGACCCATTTTGCCAAAGGAAAGGAAGTTGCCTAATAATTATGCACACCTGATATAGGGTGTTGATGTCATTAGACCACACCCCTTCTCATTACAGAGATGCACATCACCTAATATGCTTAATTGGTAGTAGGCTTTCGGGCCTATACAGCTTGGAGTAAGACAACATGCATAAAGAGGATGATGTGGTCAAAATACTCATTTGCCTAATAATTCTGCACTCCCTGTATGTTTTGACTGCATTTGTGTAAATGGCAAAGTTATATGTGTTAAATGTATTGTATTCGTCTGATTGTTCAGTAGTTTCTTTCCCTTAGTTTGTTCGAATGAAACTACCAAACAGTCAGACCTCCCCTGTGTGAAGTGTGCCTTCAATTACCCGTTGCAACATTGTTGCGAACACCGCTGAGACCTCCACAAGCCCGGTCCGTTCGGGTTCCAAACTACCGAACGGCCCCTCATTCGGTAGATAGAAACAACCGAACGAGGGGATTCAGGCGAACCCTCCCTAGTCTCTGTAACTGGAGGCTTTCGTGTAGTTTGTTCCCTTACTCCAGGACCGACCGCAGGGCCCCATCACATGGAACCCCATTCGGCTGTTCTTTCCAGCGCGGTCGGTCATTTTATTCCCTCCATAAATTTCCCAAACCCCTGGTCTGATGTGGGTGATTTTTGGATATGTTGTTCACCCAGATCAGGGCTACCAGGGGATGTATAATTTAAAGTGGTACCCCTAGGTTTAGGGGTACATCCAGAAACTGGGGGAATTGGTGTCCTGGATTATGATGCAGGCTGAGGGGAGGAGATGTGTGGGAGGTTACCGGAACAGGATTGGATACTGTACAAATTAGTGGAAATCCCTCCCTTGCATGGGGACAGGCTTTATAAGGCCACTGCCTGAATAAATCTTTAGTTCTGCTCCTGATACTGTGTGTCGTCCAGTTATTGGGATTGCTGTTGGGATACTGCTGTGTTATTTTGCCTACTGGATACTTTACCCTATGGATTTATAATTACTTGTTCCTGAGCCTCCCTGGGATCTAAAGTGGAGATAGGCTGTGTAATACCAGCTCTCCGCTACAGTGTGTGTATGGGGGAGCAGTATGTGTGTGTATGGGGAGCAGTGTGTGTGTGTGTATGGGGGGCAGTGTGTGTGTATGGGGAGCAGTGTGTGTGTATGGGGGGCAGCAGTATGGGGGGCAGTGTGTGTATGGGGCAGTGTGTGTGTATGGGGGCTGTGTGTGTGTATGGGGGGCTGTGTGTGTATGTGGGGGCAGTGTGTGTGTATAGGGGGCTGTATGGGGTGCAGTGTGTGTGTACGGGGGGCAGTATGGGGGGCAATGTGTGTGTACGGGGGCAGTGTGTGTATGGGGGGCAGTATGGGGGCAATGTGTGTGTAGAGTGTGTGAACACCCCGCCCCAGCGTACCTGTCACTGGAGTCTGTTGCTGGGGGTCAGACAGCCATCTTCTGCAGCAGCATGGTCTGCTGTTTTACGGCGGAGGCGGGGCTTATGAGAAGGAGACGGGGCTTCATTTGGGGGCGGGGCCTGTGCCGGGGAGCCTGTCAGTGCTCCCTCCAGCCACAGACAGCCCCCAGCACTGCATTCCCTCGTGCTGTCACAGACTGTTACAGCCCGAGGGAATATAATTGAAGCCCATGGCCCCAAGGGGGGCTCAGCATGATGTAGAGGGGGCCATGGCCCCCTCTAGCCCCCCCTAGCGACGCCACTGGCTCAGCAGTCTGCCGGGAAGGAAAAGAAGCAGATTTGTGGTCTCCTTCTCATGCAGGCAATGGCTTTGGTAGCCTTATGGGAAATTTGGCCTTGCTTGTAGACAGATGGATAGATAGATAGATAGATAGATAGATAGATAGATAGATAGATAGATAGATAGAGCTATACACTATTATTTATTAAACTAATAATTTTAAGTAAATTAAAGGCAAATATCAAATTTAAGGTTAAATTAGCCAATCTGGAAAAAGTCCGTTATGCTTTCAGTTCAGCTGCATGTGAAATTCACTTTGAATTCTCACTTTAGTGAATAACCCTGTTTAAATCACTCTTTTATGTATTTTTTACCCTTAATGTTTCTTTAATAAAACGCAAAATTCTACCTTTAACCTTTAAGTTTAAACACAACTTCTATTGAAACTGTACACTTTTCATTATATATTGTTATATATTGTAAATAATATTCACTGTTTCTAAATCAATAGGTTTAATATATATTTGATATGCATTGTTCATTCAAGTGTTATTGAAATATAAACTATACTGTATTTACATCAAATGTGTATAACTTCTTAGATGCATATATGCTAGCAACTTGGAAAGAGGTCTGACAGTCAATAGCCCAATAGAAATGAATGAGAATGGATGAAAATGGAGAGGGAAGTATGAAAAAGAAAATGTGGAGTAGTATCTTGTTGAATCTTCATAAAATATAGTCACTGATGACATCTTCTTACTAACATTATACAAAAACCAAGAAAAGGCACAAAGTACAAAACATTAACTCACATTTTTATCAGTCCTGAGCTCTGTGGCAAAATAATCTAGACATTGTGTTTCTTGCACTTTTTCACGACCACAAGTGCACTTCTTTTAAGGGG